CTCGGCTTCCACTCCTGCAGCTGGCACTCTATGTACTCTCATTCCTGGAGCCTCGGGACCTGCTCCGTGCTGCCCAGACCTGTCGCTACTGGAGGGTCTTGGCTGAAGATAACCTGCTTTGGAGAGAGAAATGCCGTGAAGAAGGTAAAGACCCCTCCTCCATATGGTATGTGGCACATTGTGGCTGGGATCTGCAGCAGGGTAGCCCACAGCTCCCACAGATGTGCATCATCTTAGCTCCCCAGTAGGGTGAGGGCATGGACCACCTGCGTACTGTGAGGCATCCCGCTGTGTTTTCCTCCTCCAGGCATTGAAGAGCCCTTGAACCTGCGGAAGCGGCGCCTGCTGAGCCCTGGGTTCATGTACAGCCCCTGGAAATTTGCCTTCATGCGGCAGCACAAAATCGACATGAATTGGCGCAGCGGGGAGCTTAAAGCCCCCAAGGTGGGTGCTTTTGGGAGTCCTTGCTGAGGACCAGACTCTAGAGCTTTGACGTGTAAGAAGCTGGTACAGGAAGGAAGTAGCAGAGAAATATCCATGACCAATAGGACGAGAACAACACTAAGAATTTTCAAAGTGCCTCAGGAAAAGATTCACAAGTCTGGCCTGTCTTCAGGAGGCGCAGGCCAGAGGCATTCACCTGGAAATACTTGAATTTAAAGGTCCTTGAAGCTGTAGGTCCTGCCAGCTTCCTGCAACTCCTGTCCCTGCCTGTAGAGAGCAGATCCACAGCACAGCTTGCTTGGAGCTTTCCCGTGTGCTCTGGCTGGCAGCACAGCTGATCGCGGGGATCGCCACAGTGGGTGGTACAGGGCTGCAGTTCTGCCAGCAGAAAAAGGGTCACCCTGGACCCCAGAGAAGGGGCTTTCCCTCCCTTCCCCCCTTCTCTGAGCACCTGTGGCAGGGCTGTAGCCAACCTTGGCAACCAGGCATCCTTCTGGGGCTCAGCCAAGCCTTGTCCCTGGTACAAGGTTCCGCAACACTTGGGTGTTGCCTCCCCGCCAAGATCCCTGCCTGCCCCTCGTCCCCGTCCAGGAGGCAGGGAGAGCAGAGCCCCGGCCACCCCCTCCCTCAGTCTCTCAGGCGACAGTCTCAGTCCTACTGCTCTCCACCTCCGGAGACTTTTTCTGGGCCTCCAGTGTTCCCAGCCCCTTCCCCAAGCCCCTGCCTCGGTGGCACCCCAGGTGAGCAGCAGTGCTCTGCACGGTGCCGTCGCTGCAGGGACTGCACCCCCCTGCAGCAAATCGTCACCAGGCAGCCCTTTCCTGAGACCCCCAACGCCCTGGTCCCTGTGCCCGCCGTGAGCACAGCTCTCCAGGGCGCTGCCTGCAGGGACGTCTGCCCTGCACCTTCCCCTACCTGAGGGGAAGTTTAATACGTTCCCCGCAAAGGGCGGCTTGTTTTCACACTGAGCTGCCG